AAGAAAGTGTCAGCATTTTACTACACGTACCCCCTGCATAGCAGGGTACGTGTAATAATAATGATAATGATCTTTTTCACAATAAAGTATTCACATACGCTTTCATTGGCAAAAACCCCTTGATTACCTCACTACAAAATTTGAACGTTTTATTTAAGAAAGATAAAACGGTGCGCGTACCTCTGTCCTTTGATATAAACGCGGTGGGAATTGAAAAACACCACGAGAGAAGCAAGCTTAGGAACACGAGAGACAGAGACGCAAGCAGCCCCTTTATAGTTCTTTTATAAATTTTTCTGCATTCTTCGAGCAAAAAACAAGCCGGTAAGCCGTGTCTCTGTCCTCTGATATAAACACGGTATATATCAGACATTTTTATAAACATTTACACTGCTATACAAGCGTAATATCGCATTAAAGAATCACAACCAACAGCCGTACSTTGGGAGCCGAAGCGCCATTTTAGGTGGACACGAAAATAGAAGATTCGTAGGATTTCTTAAATTGAACGCGAATCGTCTTTCCATTCTCTCAGTTTGGACAGAAATACCTCTGAAACTAAGTACCCCACAGTACTATCAATCTATAATCTATTGCATGTTTGACGCATTTAAACGTATGTAAACAATAACACGAGCGCACGTTGTATTGGTTGGTTGGGATACTTTAACTCTTATTGTGTATAAAAAAGGTACTTATTTGCAGTATTTTCTCAAGTGCGCATTCATTGCGTTGACGCACTTTTGCCACTCTTTTTTTAGATCTTTTTCTTCTATGATAAAAAACTTCGTAAGGTTGTCCTCAATAATCTTCACTGCAAGCTTGTTCAGGGCGCGTTTGCCTCTTCCCCCATAGACAGAAACGTTGTGCAAATCTTCTTTGGCATACATCTCCTTCAGCARGTGTACGCAAAAGGCATATTTGTTCTYGCGATCTTTGATATAGAATCGTCTGGTGGTGGCTTCGTCAGGAATTAATGGAGGAGGACAAGGTATGCTAGACGRAGGGATCTGGAGCGTGTTTAAAAAGAAGGGGTTAAAAAATGGAAGAGGAGCGGTTGGTGCAGCAGTGGTGGCAAACCAAAGGGGTTTAAATATTGAAGTGGTGCAGTGGTGGAAGCGGAGGTAGCAGTTGCGGCTTGGTCATGACTGGACGGGACTTGGTTTAGTAGGGTTGTGGAGTGGAAGTGGTGCAGTGGTGGCAGCGGAGGTAGTGGTTGCGGCTTRGTCTTGATCGGATGATGGTKTAGTAGTGGGCTCTAATGAACTTATCAAGCCCAACATAGATGATGTACTAACAGCTGGCTCAGTAGGCGTGTCGCAAAATGAGATGTCCATGAACGGATCGATTTGTGGATCTTTTTTCTCCTGTCGATCCAGTTGTTGCTGTTTTTGTTGGATCTGTTCGCTAACCATTAGCTTTAGCTCTTGTTGGTTATTATTCAGAGCATTCATTTGTCTGCAAAGATCTTTCAAAAGCTAGTTGGGTACTTTGAATGGTTTCTATGGTTTTCTGTAGGTTTGAATTAGATGGAGAGGCTTTAAGAAAAGCGCTGATATCGGGCATTTGGAAAGGGATGACTGGGGAAACAGATGGAAGTGTTTCTGGGATTTGTGGAGGTGTTTGGAGTAAAGCTGGTGCTGCCAATTCGGTCAACATCTCCTGGTCTTGTGCTGTTGCCAAAGAATCTATGTCGCTGACAGCCTCCCTCTCGAGTTTCCATAGTTCGTGTTCTTCCTCTGAAACAAAAAAGGGTAAATATAATAACTTTCACGTGAACTAAAACAGTCTTTAGTGAAAATACTTACCATGAACTGCAATTATCCTTGCAAATGCTTCGTCTTTTTCTGCTCCCCATCGCAGTGCTACATACTCGCCAGCCTTTATCTTGTGGCGGTAGCCTTCCAAAATTACATTAGTTTTGGTCACACCCAATGTCTTCGATTTAATGAAGTAGAAGAGAGCATACTTTGGTATCCTTGTTTTATTTCTGCTTGACATCGTTTCTGTTTGATTTATCATATTAACTATGAGTTTGCTNAATTCCGGATTAATATGGGCTATTTGCAAGCATTTCTTTTGGAAGTTGGGCCTCGTACCATGAGCTGCGTGTTTTGACAATTTAACACAGTTGGATGCCACGTGGCCAGCGGCCTTAAAACTTTTGATAGGCCGATTTCCAATGCAGACAGGGATCCCGTTGCCATTCGACGTAATTTCTGGCCCGGGTAACGGATGGACGTCACCGCTCAGCTTGATACAAAATTCCATGAAATTAAATGTAGCGCAGGAGTTAGAGTAATAAGAGATACGGCTCTTTGAAAATTTCCGTCTTAGGCCAGTGATGATGAACAGAGGGCGATACCAAACAATGGATCTTTGGATGTTGTTATGTCGCATAATGGTAATAACAATAGAGTCATCGAAGTGTAGAATACGGCCAGTCGTATTTGAATTGCAAATATATTTGCTGGAAACAAAATCAAACTGCTTGAACAGAAAATACTTCTCAGCAGCTTTTTGATCTTCTGAGGTTGCAAAGAAACCTTCTCCATGGCGTCTCTGAACATTCCCATAACCAGGAAGACTAGCTGGTTTGTCAAGGAAGCCTCCAAAAAGGAAAAAATATATAAGAAAGACAGAGCTCCAAAAGTCATGTCTGCATACCATGACGCTGACTGATTAAAACCAAGTTGAAAATTGAGTTGAAAATAGCTAAACTGGGGCAGTTTTGAAGCTTAAAAGTCTAACCAACCATGTTCTTTTAGAAATGAAAACGATGTTGATAAAAGATAAGCCAAATTAGTTTAGCCTTGAAACCCGAGAGCTTGTTAAAAGTTATTTGTTTGCCATGATTTTTCATGAGTCCGGAATATTAAGAATATTAACTTAAGTTTTATCAAGTAGTTCATCTTGCAACTTAAGCTTAATTTTTTCTTTATTTGACTGCAGCAATTTTAAGCTTTTGCTATTCAATTACTTTAAAATACCGAAGAAAACTGGTTGTTAAGCTTATCAATTTTTTCTGGTTGAAAAATCTTGACCGTTATGCGGTCCTAAAGTGATCTTGAAAGAAATGAAATGAAAGTTTCAGATATTGAAAGCCATTGCCTATAGTTCAACCTATTTTAAATTTTATTAAAAACTTAACGCTTACTTGAAGCAATTGAGCTTAAAGTTTAACGTAACGGTGTCAGCTGAAATCGTAAGAAAAAGCTGGACATGCTTCCTGATTCATGCTTGAATATATGAGATGATCACCAAACAATTTCAAATAAGGTTGAATTTGATTTTTTTAACGGCTTTAAATTTATTAGGCAGCCCTTCAAGAAAAGAATAAAAACTTTCTCAAAGTGCTCGTCGGACAGTTTTTCTTGTAAGCTCGTCGAGGCCATTTCTGTCATGTGTTGAGAATCTAGCTTTCTATCATCCAAATATCTGGGCCATAGTCATTTTCAAATAGTATATTCTCCTTAGATTGAATTCAATAGACGGCGCCTACGCTTCAATCAAATTTCCGAATTTCTTTAAATTCACGGCATTTTTTCGTCAATCTTTTTTATTGTGGTACATATGATTAGCCGGCTATATCTGAATTCTATATGATAGACCGATTTCATTCATTTCTGACTTGATAGCAAGGTATTTATTTAACAACTCGTAAGCTTGAAAGGTATTAAGCTTAAGCTTAACTTTAGCTTGAAACTTTGCAATTGATTTTCACTTTAACTTATAAAATAGAAATCCAGGATTGACTGTACCGATCGCCATCAAATAATCATGGGATCAATGTAAATTGGCGAAAAGAATGTCGATTTGGCTCGCAGGAGAAAGAAATCAGCAAAGATTAACCTTTTTTGCTAAAACAGCGTACAGGCTAGCTTGTTTGCTGGATTATAAGTTATATACAATAAACTGCATTGATGAAAATGGAATAAATTATATAGTGAAGTTACTTACCCTTGTAAACAGATAAGCAAAAAGATTTATTTTTTAATTTCGCGCGATGATCTGTGCTGACACAACAACAAGTGAAGTTACTACTCAGTACAGGCTACCTGTGTGTTAACTTAGGCACGATATCGCCCAATATCATTAATTTGGAGACGTATAGTGCGATATAGTGCGATATAGTGCGTTTTCATGCAAAGTGTAACGTATATTTATTGTATTTGTAACGTATTTTTCAAAACAAATTCCGTTTAACGTATTTTTTTAATTATGATTTCGGAACATTCTCTTTAAGTTTCCATAAAACCAGATCGCAAAAATCATTTTTCAATATTTTTCAAAAAGGAGCATAACAAGCCGCAAGCTCGTTTTTATTGCGATCAGTGTGATACCAGCGTTGCCATAGTAAAGCTACTTAGTGGTTACAATGTGTGCATAAGTAAGTGTGAATCCCGCAGAGGGGATGACAGCCTTCAGAGGTCATGGGTCGCGTGTTTGATGACTAATTCTGTGATCTAAGGGATTTTCGTCAAACGGCATTTGTAGCATTCAAGACKCTCGGTTTTTGACAGACAGTTTGGACTTTCGGAAGAGTCTACTACAAGAAGTTGCATATAATACGGTTCGGCACGTTCACTTCATGTTTTTTTGCAGCATGGATTACTCAATAAATATTCAGACAAATCAGTACAGGAAAACTTGCTTTATTTCTGTTGTTGTTGTTGTTCCCCCGACCCCTCTTCTTCATCTTCAGATTTCTCCTTCTTGTCCTGTTCTGGCTTCTCCTGTTGTGTCCGCGCCTCGTAGAGACGACGCCGTCTCATAGTTTTGGATCGGGCATAAGGATTATTCATCCTTTTTCGTTGCCGATCCCTTTGTTCGGCTTCACTGTCTATAAAGTTAAGTACAGAATATTAACTTTAGATACACTGATRTAAGTACGACTTGTCCATAGTTTTGTATTAAAAATCAAAATTTTACGTAGGCTTTAAAGCGTAGTTAATAAAACTATGGAATCATGGCCAAATCCACCCACAGAGAACCATACTTAAAAGGAATGCCAACAATCTCAACGCTTTTGAGAAGCAGTGAGCATAGCAAGGGAATAGAGAAATATCAAGCTGACTAAGCACGTGATTATTTGTATAATTTTTCTTATATTCTTAATAATCACGTGTTTAGTCAGCTATATATATCTCTAACCCCTTGCTATGTATTCACTTCTGATGATGGCATGAAACATGTCGACTAATAAGCGAAGGAAAATCGTAATAGCGATTTTAAAATGTCAACGCTGTAAAACACAGGTTTGTGCTAGAAGCTACKTGGTTTGTTGCTTAAAGGGCAATATTTCATTTGTTGAGTGCCAAAGGCACTTTTGTTTTAAATCTACTTCGACCTTGCAAAAGTACTATAGTGAAGCCGTCAAGTGATAGTAATAGCGAAAAAATACTTTAGTTAGGTCGAACTCACTGCGTTATCATTTATGTGATACTCACCAATCCTCAAAGCACCCGATGCCGCGATCTCCGGTGATGTGGGGAAATCAATCTCCCAGAAACCAGGAGGAGTTCTCGGTGGCGGCCTGTGCTCCCACCTATGTCTGCAAGATCTTTGAATCCTCTGTTCGCGTTCGTCTTCGGGAAAAGATTTGTAGTACTACAAAGAACAGTTTTAATATTGGATATAGACCGATATACAYGTAGTGATTGCATGTAAACGGGTTGCACGTCGTGGCAGTGATTCAGTACATGACTTACCTCGTCACAATCCCTGCAAGTGTAGGCAGGGTCCTTCCACCTTTTTTTYCCTCTTTTAGGCATGTTTTAGATTGGATATACCAAGTATATAGAAGTTATACGCTAATTAAACAAAWCAAGAGTTCACTCAGAGCCAGTTGCAATGGTTTGGTCAGTTTTGACGTGTGTCAGGAAATCATTACAGAAATGTTGTGGAATTTCCTGCGAACCAATCAGAAATCTTGATTTTTGACAGTTTACTACCCAAGATGATACTTTTAGCGGAGGTGTTGCAAACGTGTGCAAATCGGTACAAGACTGGCTTGAGTTTTGGTGGTTTCATTATCAATTGGATTATTCCTTATTTGTATGTTTTGATATTCAAAGCGCCAAATTCGAAAATGATCTACATTTTATGCGCGCTCTTCGAAGATGTAGGTCAGAGTTATGGTGGAGCCGTCAACCCAAACATGATTTTTCGGGTATTTTCCCAAAACTTGGACCCACGGAAGAAGTGGTATGTTCTGAATAGTGATATATGCGGCATAACGCCAAAGAAGTTTTCTAGCAGTGATTTTTTCGGCCGTTTCAACGAAGAGATAACTTCCCGCCCGATATCAGAGCTACAAGACGAACATGGCAATAATATCTCCGCGAAGCTCGTCGAAGCAGGATCCAGAATTCAATCAACTGATTTGCTTCTTGGCACCACTTTTGCTATTTTAGCTGGTAATATTAGAAAGAGACATCTAGATGATTCGAAATTTGCCAAAACTTGTCAGTTTGAGGCACTGAAAGATAAGATAAACCAACTCGATATCACAACAGAGAGTTCTGACCCAAGTTTAGACGACTTAAGTATTACCAGACCGCCCATCTCTACTAGTACACCAGTATCTAGCAAAAGAGACGATGAACAGTCTTCTGTTAACCGTAAAAGGAAAAGCCCGCCAATTTTTGGCGCGCTATCCAACGACGATTCTTCATCGAGCTCGAGTTCAATTGAGGACATCGAAAGTCGAAACTACGGGAAAATATACAAAGTAAGGATACTTCGCAAAAAGTGCAACATGATTTTAGAGAAAATACATAGTATATGTAAAGATCATAATGAAGAACTGGCGAGCGTGATCGCTCGATCATGTCTGTTCGAGCGTGGCGAGTTGCGAGACAAAGGCCAAGAAATTATCCAAGACGTATTTACCAAAGTGGAAAAGGAGTTAGGTCTCGAGAAAACATTTGACGATTTAATTCCGAGTGAGCTACTCAGCAAGAGGGTTGCCTCGATGACAGTGCCAGACTGGCAGTTACTTCTTATGAAATTAGAAATTCCCATTTCCGATGAAGGATGGCAAACATTGCTAAATAGGACACAGATTGGAAAAGGAGGGGTAAGACAGTTGTACTGTACAGTATTACTGAATTCAGATATTATATTTAATTAGTACAGTSAAATTATAACATTGTAAGAAGTTTTCTTTATTTTATCTCAGAAATTATCCAAAGCCCCAATTCTTCTCTCCAAGAATAAAGTTAAGGCCTTGAAGAGCTTGGTATTCAACAAAGTGGAGAACCTCTTCAGTATAAGACCAATCCCAGAGGAAATTGATATACCAGGATACCTCGTCTCTTTGGAGTCTGTGCTCTGCTGGCAAATAAGGGAACTAAGGTTACTTGGTTTAAATGCCAAAGACATGAAATTGAATTTAAAATTAGATGGAAGGCCTTTATGTGGTGGGTACAAATGACAAAAGTAATTTACAAACAATTTGTGAATGAAATGTCGAAGGTCATAAAAGCATCTAATACTCTATTTTTGAAAAGATAATTTATATTTATTTGGGTAAACATTTTTTCTGCTACAGGAMGAAATCAAGTTTTGGTTGGTGTGATACCAAAAAATACAGCCAAATGGTCAAACCATAGCTGCAAGTCCTTTTTTCCATTGGCCTTKGCAAATTGCAAAGAGGGCAGGTGAGTAAATTCTGCCACTTTGTTTAACGACCATACAATTTCACTAAACTAGACTTTGGCTTGTAAGATATTATGCCTGCCCAATATTTAAAAAAATACTTCATTAGAAACATTATAAACACGTGCAAATATTCTGTATTAGTATTACCATACTAGTGGACTATTGCAATCCTTTGTTCTGACTGGCTACGCTATTCGGTTTTCAATAGTCCTTGAATAATAAAAAGCGATAATTTTTGCATATTTTTAGCAATAAAAACATTTAGTTATTTATGTATTTCATTCATTTTTGGTCCAACAAGTATGGTAATACTAAAACAATTAGATCTCTCGGCCTCGTGGACTATGAGCTGGTAGCCCATTCGGCCTTTGGCCTCCGTTGGCTATCAGCTTATAGTCCACTCGCCCTCGAGATTTACTTGTTAAATAGTCAATGTGTAAAACTCTAGTATACACAATGTAGAGTGACTACCAAGGTTTTTTAGTCTATTTCATGGGTTATGGAAACAACTCTAAATAGTATAGTCTAAGTCACTTAATATTATTCTAGATGGGACTGCCTAGTGGAGAAATTATTTTCCATTTTCTTAATAGAGCTCTACTTAATTTAGCTACAACACAGTTGTTTCAATTTTTTATTAAAAACACCTAATTGACTTGATTTTATGACAAACTTTATTGTTATTGTCACAGGAACAAAATAAGGACATGCTGATATGTTATCACTCTGATAGAGTGCGCACCTTATATCAAGGAAATCTTTGTATTAGTAATATGTATTATCAGCTCCAAATATTTTACTTAGGCATTGAATCATATTAAATAACTAAAATGTGAAAAATGTGTGTAAATTTGTATCACAGTAAGTTGGTTTCACAGACACATGGTATGCACTCTACTGTTCGCTTTTTTCTCTTTTAAAACAATTTGAATTTATTTTGCAGGAAAAATCTTAAATCCATCATTAGCAATCTAAATAGTGAGAAGGCATCCATTAAAAAAAATGGCATCACAGTTGATGGACAAAAATATTTTGTAGATTTCAAAGGTTTGTAAAAGCTAAAAAGTCAATAGTAAATCAGATCTTTAATTTTCTAAATTTTAATACATCAATGGATTGATTTTATTCACGATAATACTTGCATTCATTGCAATATAGTTATCATTTTGATTTTATGTCCACTTTGCCAGTCACACTTGATCTCAAAGCACTCTACAATCTCCTCGTTAAAGATGATGATGAAGAGTTTCAACTTGGAGGGAAGGGACTAGCTGTGGAATTCTGTTTTTTTTGTATGGCTATAAGGGTATGTTGAATTGTTTATTAAAGGATTTTATTGTGATTATTTATACAGTAACAATGTTTTGCTCTCAAATTAAGATAGTCAATACATGCAGATAGTGTATTCATACCCAAATTAATTATGTACATACTAGCTTATATGCTCAGCACTAAGAGGGCTGCATGAGCTTTACATGAGATTGATTAGAGTTTATTTTTAAATGTTTCTAATTTTAAGTTGGTTTTAGTGTTGCTCGTGTGATCTGGCTCCACACTCTGTTTGTTTAGAGCACCTTTCAAGTACAAAGGCCAATATTGGCGGGTAAGCTCGATCTTCAACTTATATATAGGTTAATGATACATAAATCCTTGGTTGTAGCTTGTTTATAGTTATAACATACTAAGATGTGCTAAGATGAGGTTTTTCCTTTAAAAATAATATGTCCGCTGTTGGAATAATACTACCAATAATACTGAAAATCATAAGAGCAAAGATTGTGGTTTCTATATGTATTGCTAATTAAGATATAGCAATGTACTTGGTTTATGTATACCAAAAACACTAATCAATGTCATTCTTAAATCTTCATAATATGTTTAAACACATGATGGTTTCCTTCTAGTTTTAAGGGGATTAGAGATGATTTAGTCTTACTGCTGGAGGAGGAGTTGTCCTCAGTRAACCTGTGTGCCCTCCATTGTGAGCTTAGGAACACCGAGCAACTTATAGCATCCCTTGGACTCTATTCTCACAAGATAGGAACACTAAAGAAGTGTAATGAAATTCTGTCCCAATATGGACCAGAAACTACTGGTGATAGAATCTCTGTAAAGCTGAGAGAAGGTCAAAAGACAGCATTGACAAAGAACAACATCAAAGTTAAGTCATTTTCAGGTAAGGCTAATTTTGTTTTCAATTATTCTGTGAGAGAGAGAGAGAGAGAGAGAGAGAG